TAGTGTGTATATATATATATATATATATATATATATATACACCTAGAACCAATTCGGTCTATATACCTAGAACCAATTCGGTCTTGGTTGATTCCCACTCGAATCGGCGATCCGGATAAGAAATCACAAAGTTTTAAAACACTGGCAACAAGTATGAACAAGGAAAATGCTCAATTTTCATTCACTATCACGTAAGATTGAAGTGCTAGCATATATGACTTGTGTGGGTCATGCAAATTAGTAGTTAAGTTGCCATGCATAAGTAACGATAGTGTATAATTATTAGGGATCATATACAATGAGACCATTTACCTTTGGTATAAGGCGGTCACAATTACTTACAACCATCCGATGGGAAATATGATAGCTTGGGTATCTCAGAAAGTTGGAGAAAATTTATTTTTAACTTAAAGCTTAATCAATGAAATAAATGTAGCCACCCAATTTCACATCCAATGGTCAAGATTAATTGTGACTACCTTGTACCAAAGATAAATATCCTCATTATATATTTTCCCTTATAGCAAGTTATAAAATTTGTTAAGTCGCGCACAATTCATAATGCTCTAAAAGTGCTTGTGATATCAATTATATTTACTATTTTTCAAAAATAGAAAGTTTTGGTAAAATTTTACGTTGGCTGCCTGCTTGCCTAACACAAACAATCTCCTTTACTCGGGCATAGGTTATATCAATTGTTGAAGTGTCAACTTTACATGTAGAAGTAAAGTTGTGATTTTCTCCTCTATTTTAGTTGGACATTATGGATTTGACATGTCTTTTAATGCAAAACTGAAAAAGTGACACGTTTTTTAAATGGAAAATTATTTCATGCGGGCTGGACTACTTGACTACATATGCAGTCCAAAAAGAGTAAAGCACCCATCTTAAAGATGGATGTAAGTAGGTGTTCCATCTAAAAACAATGGAAACTAACGGTCCAAATGTTTTCTTACTGGAATTATTATTTCTAGTTTTTAAATTTTACTTATTTGTTTATATTTATGATCTCCATATTAGAGATTTCATGTCCTTAAAAATTAAGTCCAAAAATCCATCTCAAAAATAAATTTATTAATAGGCCCGCATTTCTACATATACCAGCTTGGCCGCATAGAAACCGGGTCCTTTTTAAATAGTGTCAAGTCTACACTATCCAACTAAAATATTTGATTGTCTATAAAGAGACCATTTATCTTTTGTACGAGGTCACAATCATTACTGTCCTTTAAATTTCAAATCGGTGGTTGTAAGAGTGTCATTGAATAGACACAAAGTTCCAAAAGAAAATTCTTGGATTTTGTGAGAAACCCCACGTCATCTAATTTGACATCTAATGAGTAGGAATGATTGTAACTCTACCCCATAAATCAACTTTTGTAAAAAATGACCAGAAACCTGTAAGTCATTATAATAAAACGGCCTTCATTCTAATGATTAACCTGAATGTGAGGAATTTATCATTGGGCATGCAAAGAGATATAAGTTGGGAAGAGGAAGCCTCAAAGGGTGACACATGTAATCAGCCCATGTCGTGAATATTATCTTTGTTGATTCGAATTTCATTCATGGATGCATAAGTATTCAAGTGCAGTCCATTTCCACAACTTCATTTTAGAGATAGATCCAAATGGCCACAGGTCAATCATGAATAATGAAAAACAAGAATGTAGATATCAAAAATTGGTATTTTAGAATTTATTTATCAAACATTTATGTTAATTCTATTTTTAAGGGTTTTTAAGTCTACTTTTTTAGATCTATAGTTTCTTCACCAAGTTCATTATTCTATAATCATATATTCATAATTACAGTGATTGAGACTATTGACCTATAAACTCTCAAATCCAAAATCTACATCTGAAATGAATTTTTGCAAAGGAACCACATTTTGGACCGGATTAAAACTTTTCTTGTTATTTATTGACCATTATAAGGAGAACTTTGGTACTTTTTCACACCCTTTTAAACTGGTGCGTTTTAGCAACTATGGGCTTCTTGACTGCATGTTATTTGCACATCGACGGTCCAAAGGCTCCAGTATCATGTAGTTCACCATGTAATAGTTCAAAGATGATGTTTTTCCCAGGTTCTTATGCATGGCTTCTACTGTCATCCAGTATTTTAAAACTCAAGCATGGGTGTTACATTGGCCCTTCATTGTAATGATCCAGATCGGTGATCTTGAAGATCAACCTTTTCTCCAAGGTGAAAAAGATAAGTCATCATCATCAAAGCACTTTTCCTACTAATAAATGTCAACTACACGAATCCTGGTCCACCATTATGCTCTATTAAGGGTCATACCCTCAGGGAAGCCATAAGTCTCCATATATTTTCTCACTACTTCCAACTATGTCCTTTTGAGCCTACCCGTTTCCTTTTTTTTAGGCTTACAATAGAACTAACTCGCACTTGTTAACAGGTGTTGTACTAAGTCTATGCCATACATGACCAACTCACCTAAGTCTACTCTCTCTCAACTTTCGCCTGTTAGTGCCACAGCTAATTTTTTCAAATATATTCATTTTGAATTCTATCCCTTCTTGTCTTGCTACTCATCCATCTCAACATTCTATTCTTTCTTGTTTTTTGACCGCCAACATTCTGCCCCATAGAGCAAAGTTGGTCTTAGAGTTGTCTTATGGAACTTGCCCTTTCAGTTTTATTGGTATTGCGGCGATCACATGAAATTCTAGTTATAAATCTCCACTTAACCCATCCAGTTCTAATTCTATGTGCGACATCTTCTCCAATATCTCTATTTTCCTGGATTATCGATCCAAGATATCAAAAGTGCGTTCTTTTTGGTATTTTTTGGCCTTTAATCTTAACTACTTCCTCATCTCTACTCCTATTATTACTAAACTTGCAGGTGAAAGAGATAAGTAAATACTGAAAATAAAAATTTAAGGGAATTACTAGTTCATCTGATCCGAGTCGGCAATTCCATATTCGAATCATTTGGTTCTCTAATAGAACCACGTGACTCTATCCAAATGAGGCCAATTCATGATTCCGTATGGGGAACGACCCAGGTACCAACTTGACTAGAGATTTTTAAGACTTGATTGAAAATCACCCTATCGTATTCACGGTCCTCATTTCCAAGATCTATAATGCATGTACATTGCCCATGACCAGTGTTTTAAGAACCGGTGTGCTTGGCTCGGAACTGGTGGGTAACTAGTCTGGCTGTAAAAGACCCCACAGGGTGCCCAGTCCCCAATGGTTTTTAAGTTTTCATTTTCCAATAAAGAAAACTTAGGAGAACTAGCAGGCTGGATTAAAAACAAACCAAGCCAGCTCAATTTGGCCTACCAGCTTGGTTTTTCAAAACAATACACATGACATTGACGTGAAGAATCTCAAGCAAACGCTTGCCATGCTAGCAGTTGGGTCTCAAACAATATTCAGTTTTTATGTTTTAAGAGACTCTTAATAGAGGAGCAACACACCCTGACAAGTTCTGTTATCTGTTGGGAAGCTAGTGGCATATTATTTTAAAATAAGATGGTAGCAGGTCATACTTTCCGGATCTAAATGTGGGGTGCCATTTCAGCTTCCCTTCTATGTTTTAAATGGGATAATGACTCATAACCAGTTCAATTTCACAAGAAGGGACCATAACTACACTAAGTATGAGTACATGAATTCGGTACCCATACTCAACATCCAACGTTCGTACCTATACTCAAGTAGGGTAATTGAGAAACCAGTCTTGTTAAAAATGGACGGCTTGTTAAGCTGGCAACTTATCACTTGCTATCCATGGATAAGACAGTTTCTAATTCCCCATTCCGGTATGAAATGATAGAAAGACTAATTGACCATGCCTAGCATTGGGCCATTACCATGAGAGGTGTAACGTGCAGTTGCAAACACAATATCCACCCTTACTTTCGGGTAGATTGGTGTGGTATTGTAGAATGGGATGTAGTGTTGCAATTGGCGACACAAGAACCAATAAAGCCTATGGCCTTATCCCACACAAATATTTCGCCCTTTAATTGTTCTCCCTATCATGGTTCAAATAAGCTGCATGATAGATATGCATTTGTCCACAAGAAAGGCATTAGATAACAAATTTATCCCATGCATTCATGATAAAACTTTCTTCAACCAGAAAATTATAAATTCAAACAAACTCACATAAGATACAAAAACTCACCCCCAGTGATTGTGATAATCTTTCTTTACTTTATACCATATCTAGGTAAAAAGTCATATAAATTCTGCAGCAAGTTCAATTATGTTCTTTTATCTCAAAAGCAATTCCAAAATTTCATTCAATCCATGATACCTACCATAAATACCCATAAGATGATCCATCTTTTGTGCATGTCAGCAGATGAAAGTACATACAGCCATATACCTAGTTGCAACTAGTCCAAAATACAATCCTCTTCATAATCATTTGCATAGCCAACCATATGATATTTCTTATGCCATTTCATTTCAAAATTGGTGTACTCAAAGTGCTATATGAACATAGCACACCCATTCATGTAATGCAAGTTAGTGGCACCCAAAGCTAAAGCCCAAACCCCTCTCTTTACAGCACCTATGCCTGCATATAATATTTGGTTTGCAAACACTAGTAAACATCCATGAGGAACTACTTGTATGATAACATGGATGGGTATGTAATGATTTTTGTATAATGACATGGATGGATATGTTATGTTATGGCTCTGAATGATTAATTCCCATATTCAATTCTTCTTGGTTTCCAAAAGGATGCATTTTAAGGGAAACCCAACATCAGTTCTGGATCATCGACGAGGCCGTGCATTGCATCAAGCATGGAGTTTCTATCTGGAGAGGAAGTAGCAAAGAGGCTCTTTGGACTGAAGCAATGTCCATAGTTTGGGGTTTGCTCCTTATTATAACAGCTTGCCTTGTCACTGATGTCGTTCGAGTTTGCAGGCTGAGATTTTATAGAGGGGAGAGTAATGCTTCCATTTCTCGGCAACCTCTTGGGGAGCTTCATCAAGCTTTTAGGCTCTAAAAAAAAGATTTCATTGAATAAGAACTAGGAATGCAAGGAAGAAAAAGAGAGAGAGAGAGACATGTTGAGTAGAAGAATATAGGTTTTTAGATGCCAAGGGTAATGACACAGACAAAGGAAACTGCTCATGACACAATCAACTAATGTGGGGCACCTCCATTAGCAATTGAAGGTGATCCAATTTTACAAGCAAATATCTGGTTGCAAACCTCCATGAATTCGAGGAAAGAGAGAAGCAAGAAAGTAAAGAAAGCATTGGACTCATACCATAACTTACAGAAGCTATTTCAAGAAATCTGTTTTGGTGGGAATCCAAGAAGAAAATAATCAGGATTAAATATGTACGATGCAAAATTTTAAAGAAGAAGACAATGAAATATTGGAAAATACTTTCATTCCTACTTACTTGGAAACTTTTGACGGCATGGCCCATCATGATTAGTCTTGAGTTCAACAGCATCATGACAATCGGGGAACCGAAATGCACTAGGAACCCCCTTTTCTCTCCTTATTTGTTTACCTTTTGGTACCTAAAGAATATAGAACAAAATAATAAAGGAACCAAAGTAATAAGTTTTATCCAACACCCCCAGGAAAAAGGGACACCAATGCATTTAGAAGAGCTGCTCTTTCAGGAAAGAAAACTTCATTTGAAAGCAAGTTGTTGACTACCTTATGCAGCTTATATTGTTCGACCCATCTGGCTTTCACCATGTCATTCAAAACAAGCTTCTTTAAAATCTTGAACTCCCATATGTTTTCTCCTGAGAAAGAATTATCAAAGATGCCCTCTGAGAGCAATTGTTGGAAGCTGGATAAGGTCTCCTGGAACTGATGGCTATCAAACATTCTTTTAAGGCTGTAAAATATGGATGAACTTAGACCATAAATGAGGGCTAAAGGTAGAAAAAAGAAAAAAAAAGATTTTAAGACTAATACAAACACGAGAGGGGAAGTATACTACATACCAACAAGCGAAGGAAAAGAAACATCATTGGGGCCATCACAGCAAAAACATGATGCGCTGAGATGATGTGAGAGAGAGGGACCACCCAATGTAATCATGTCATGTTTTAGTGGACATCAATCTCTCTCCATCACCATCAATTGTTTTATCTCAGGGTGATGGCCTCAGTGAAATATCACTAAAATTCATTTGGTATAGTACACTTCCCCAACATGAGAAAAAACCATGACTAGACATTTCAGACAAAATGAAATCAACGACGAAGAGGTGTAGAAAGTGTCCATCCCACCATTCGTATGGTTCTTACTGGCTCCATCACCCTCCAACAGTTCATTAGATGGTGATGATCTCTATGGACCATTAGTATAGGATAGCACATTTGATTATATTATACTTTTCCAACAGGAAAAAACACCTCGGGAGTCTTCAGACCAGATGAAATCATAGAAGAAGAGATGAAGAATACATATTACCAACCTTTCAGGAAGCTGGTTGGTATCTACAGAAGTTAGATAGCTTGTCAATTTCTCTTCATGTACTAAATGCCTTGTAAACTCTTCAAAATTTATAACATCCTACTTGAGAAAACACTGCAACCATGTCAGTTAGCTCCCAAAAACAAATAAAAAATGTATCATGTAACATGAATTTAGACGACCCAATTAGTTGGGAAAAGGCTTTAATGATGATGATGTAACATGAATTTATTTATGGAAACTTTACAATAGTCCAATGGAATGTGGTATATGGTACACCAAGCTACATCCACTATATGTTTCAAATGATGGATGGTTAGAGAACCTGGGTAAATATCCCTATATGTTTCAATTGATGGACGGTTAGAGAACCTGGGTAAATATCCCTGCAAACCCCACTCCAATTAGCCCCAATGCGGGATGTAGCCTTGAGTAACATATGACATACTTTGCTTATGGCATACTTTCCCTTGTAAGATTCAATTACAGTAATCATGCCGTGGGAATCTTGTTTTGAACTGACAATAGTGGAAAAAGCCTTACTTTTAGATCTATGGATATAAGAGGTGAATTACTACTCCACAGAATATCACATTCATCATCAGATGTCTTGTTCCTGCAAGTCAAATGGAGAGGGGTTCAGGAAATGGAACTGTGGATATCCACGTATACATGCCCATGCAAACAAAGTTATGGAAGAACTAGAGCCCAATAATGAATTCAACATATATATCAGCAAGAAATTATTTCAAATTAATTTCCTCTTAGCAATTAGCTGGCCCTAAATAGTTGGGGTAAGGTTTGGATGATGATGAGTTTCCTTTTAGCATGACCTTGAAAGAATAATACCACTTTTGAAAATTTCCGAAAAGCACGAGTAAGGACCTTTGTGAATCTTCTTGAATTGGTTCTCCAATATTGGTCTTAACTATTCCATCACCCACTTCAGAGAAATTACATCCCTTGCTTGGAATATTTACATGATGGGATGTTGATCTTGAACAATCGTCATTTAGAAAATGTGCCTTGCTTTCTGTGAGAAGAGAGCTGGCTTCTGACTCCTCTTCTTGTGCCAATGAATTTGGGGGCCTTATAAGGACACCACCATGCCCTATTTCAACAGAAACCATCGGAGTTGTGGTTTCAAAAAGTAGATCCTCCTCTGAAGTTCCTGAGAGGTATGACAACTCTTGCTCATGTAATATGCAATATAATTCTTTTGTGAGCTTTTCAACTGAAGATGGCTTTTGACGATTAACACATGTCCTCTTTCTTGAGGGAATGAGTGAATCCCATGCATTGGATTGTGCAGAACCTGAAAAGGAAAAGGTAAATCACTGAAAGTGAAACGGGTTTTTTGCGAATCTAAATTAATCTAATAGACAACTTTCTATTAATAAAAGTTCTATGTGGGAAATTGAAGAAAAAAGCAAAGATATGTCAATCTATAAAAGGGGATGACAATGCTGCTGCTCAAGCAATCATAGAGGTCAATTTCAATTTAAGATCATTTTTGTCTCAGTTACATGGCATATTAGAATAATGAAAGCAGCAATAAGCTAGAGCATGAGGATATCCTGGGCAGGTACACCATCCTTGACACCCCAAGATAATGTCCCCAAACTAACTGAAGATATCAACAAGCTTGCAGATTCACTCTCCTCAAGATCCAGGAGAAAACTCAGGTAAATTCTTGGTACACATTAGTGTAATCAAATTAATCAGAATCATTTTATTGTATATATTGGCAAAAGGCCACAATGATCAAAATATCTTTGTGGGAAAAATTTATGAAATACCCCTAACTCCATGTATATCACTACCCAATTTCCTAATAAAACTGAATAATTATCATAGATAGATTCAATGACTTGGTAATAAGTTGCAAGGTGTCTGGAAGATGATAGATTCCATCAAATAATCCAATGATACATGACAATCTACCTCAATGTGTCTGATCTTCTAACAGAGATTGTCATCAAATCATAAGATTAATTGATGAAATTATCAATCTTCCCTACACTTGGGACTTATTTACCAAAACATTAACTCAAGATAAATAGAAATACTTGGTGAGGAAAGTGTATCTCATCTCAGCAGATGAGCCAGTTGGCAGGGGTTATTGAGATGTGTAGACTACATCGCAATGACTTCATATTCTTATGTTTGCACATAAATCAAGATGACTTATTGTCATCTATATAAGATTTTAGATATTTTTTATAATTAATAATATTTTTAACTCCTTGTTTTGGTGAGAATCTATTGACCTCTCAACTTATAACTATACCTGTATACTCCATGATAATTACTAGACAATATATTCCTGCTTAGCATTTTTCATCTTCTTTGATGTTTTTAAGCATATTTTTTATCTTAAATCTATGAATTGTCTTGGACTATATTTTCTACATTAGTTGTATTCTATTCCCAAAATGAAAAGCAGTCTAAGAAAGGGTGAAAGGGTGGCTATTTGCTTTATGGATTAAACCCACATCATGACGAGACAAGTCCAACTTGAGATGCATCTTGTGTGTTTCCCTATTGCTAGGAAGTGGTTTTGTACCCAATCACAAGGTGAATTGACAAGTAAATCATCTAACTATAGTCCCCACGGCAATCCATATTTCACGATGGATTAAAAGCAGTATGGTAGAATTAACCCTGAAAATTAATATCCTTTTCCATGTGTTTATTAAGTCTGATACCTTTGCCACATAAATGAAGGAACCAAAGAAAAGAAATCACAAACTATAATTATATTCAATATAGCACAAACAAACCTCTGATATCCTTGGCATCCGTACTGGCAAACTGAACACAGCTTTCCGAGTAAGATATCGCCGAGCCCGAACTGGACCTAGTGCTTGTATCCTCTTCCAGACCTCTTCGATAGAGAGCAAATCCAGCTTCTTCCCCTTTGGCCTCTTCAATTATATCATTCTGTTTTCTTTTGTGCAACTTGTCCTCTTTCAGCTTTAAAGATGGATTCTTTACTTTAGGAAAATTGGAAACGTCACTTTCAATTGCCTCTCCACGAGAATGCAGTGGAGTGTAGTTGGTTAGTGTACCCTTTGTTCTCCATCTTGACCCACACGCATTGCATAAAACAGGCTTATCTGGCGGACCATTCCGCCAAAGGGGAGTGCCTGTTCATTTCATTTCTCTTTTTAGCAATAAATACATTACTAAAGGTCCTAAAGCAAACAATATCAAACATGCATTCAGATGGTTCAACTTGAAACATGGTGTTAAGATGAACTTGTTTTATAGGAACTCTGAAATCTTTTAGAGCTCTAAATGAACCAGTGCTCACCCCAAGATACATTATCATGAATATGCTAATGCCTAGCAGCAATCGAAGTTATTGTGATGCAGGAGATAGGTTTTGGGTAATGAACCTGATTGCCCAAGAAAGAGCAAGAAAAAAAGGACAAAAAGTCATCATGATGCAGTTCAATTAAGGCATCCATTTTACAGAGATTCCATGAAGAATGAAAGGAACATAACCAACATAAATATTCTTAACATCATTGGCATTGAGTATTTTTTTATATTAATTATTAGATCATGATCTTGATACCTTAAAAACTGACAATATTAATAAAAAATTAGTTTAATGGTTCCAGTCCCTTTTTTGAGTTTACTATAGTGTGGCACGCCTTAATCTTCACCATTTTATCATTTACTTATGAACATCTAAAATGCAGGCCATCAAGAGAGGAGAAACTACTTAGAATTGGTACGTATTTATCTCAAGTAATCCTACTAGATGATGCTTAAAAGTTAAACTAGGCCATAGAGCCTCTAAACAAGAAGGGAAAGGTTACTGTAGGATTGAAAATGTTAGCAACTTGCAATTCATTCCAATGCGATAAGTACCCTTAGTTATAGATAATCCCACGACGTTGAATAAGGATGAAGATAAATAAGCATTCGTTACAAAAAACTAGTCCAGCACAAGAACCATGACACCCAGCTTGATGAGTCCTTTCATTTGACCATTTTATAGAGATACGACATATTTCAATCCCATTCTTCCAAACCATATGAAACAAACAGTTCACATTTTCAATGAAGTAAAAGCTCAATTTTGTTTATGCGGATTCATCAATGGATACCATATTCCCAATTGAAAGTTACAGCGTAGGCGAACCAGAGGAAGCCAATAAATGGATGGTAATTGAAAATTACAGTATAGGCTAACCAGAGGAAGCCAATAAATGGATGGTTCTAATACAATACATACTACAAAGCAACAAAACTTGAGACGGCATATCTACATTGTGTACAAAAGATTAATTATTATCATTCTACAGTAAGGAAACCCCAATTACACTTGACACATTTAATTTTACCACCTAGTTTTCAAACAGGTATCTCATTATCTGCCTTCACAGCCCAAGTCAAGAAAATAGGTTAAACATAATCAAACACTAACCTAACAAATGAAAATGAATTTGACGACTTACGTAGAAGTGGTGATAAAACCAATATCATAATCCTACATTGATGATTAGGCCTCTACCACACAATAGAATTTGTAAACAACGTAGTTAATTTTCATAATTTCCGACATGGGAAGCAACAGAAAGGAACTTTTGACAATGAGAAAAGGCTTTTGAAGCAAAGGAATCTAAAAAACAACAGAAGAAGCTACTGATCGAAAACCCAAAATTGCTTTCTTTCCTTATCTACGCAACCCAACCAGAAATAAACTCAAAATTCTAGAAAAAAAAAAAAAAAGTCCTTACGAAACTATTACTTCATGAGAAGAAAAGGCCGACAATGAATCCAATAAGGTAAATACAACCACAAATCCGTAACTCCAAAGTTTTATAAAAATCATATAAATAAAATCACAGAATATAT